AAAACCTAATAATTGATACCTCACAATGCATGTAGACCCGAATAGGCAAATTATCACCCGTAAGAGGTATTTTTGGACGCCATCTTGGATTTTGGCCTGAAAATGACCTTTGAGCTAACTTTTGACTGAAAATTCGGACTCTACGATCAAAAATACATAAGAATCGATACCCGACACGACGTATTTGCAAACTTTAAATTTTTTTACCCCAAAACCGCCATTTTGGCCGCCATCTTGATTTTGGGGGGGGTTTGTATGAAATTTGAGATGGCCATCATCGATTTTCTTTTTCTAGACATCAAAACGAAGAGATTGACGTATCACACAATATGCCTTCACAAACCTGCACACGGGATCACGTATGCCCCCGGACTAAAAAAGAAAAGAGATACCCCGACTCTTTTCGGTATGTGTAACAAGATGCCCTCGATTAAAATAACTAACGGGTGGCGACGGCGACGTTGATGTCACAACGCTGGAATGCAACTATTCGTGCTCGAGGGATGTCCATGTTGTATACACGATAAATTGAAGGCGTTTCGGATTTCTTGATGCCAATCACTGCCGTGCTAAGGAAAAACGCCGTATGAACCTTCAGGGGTTGCCAAATTTCCTTTGATAAAACACGAATTTCCTGGTGAGCTTATAAATATTTTCCGTCCCATTTTCAGGTAATTTTTTTCGCAATTTCAACTAAAGTTTCTTAAAATTTCAAGGGAAAACATTCATAACTTTCCTCAAAAATAAACATTTCATCGAAGGAAATTTGGCAACTTTCGAATCTCCATACGGGGTTCTTCCTTAGCACGGCTGAACAGTCCAACATTTGAATGCAACTGCTCATGATTGAGTTAGTTAGTTAGTTAATTTTATTTAACGACGATCAGCATCTCGGCTATTTACGTCGGGGACTAGGCAATTTTTTGAGAGATGTATACGTATTGTTAAAAATATATAGTTTTTGGGATGCAACTATTCGGGCTTGAGGGATGTCCATGTTGCATATACGATAAATTGCAGGCGCTTTGGATATCGTAATGCCAACAGGCGAACACTTGAATGCGAATGACCGTACTCGAAAAATGTAATACGTATAGCATTAAAAATGTATAATTTCGTGTGTTTTCTAGCAAACGGTGGAGCAATGGCAAAAAGTATTCGTCTTGTCGACGGCGATAATGGTCATCTCAGGAGTCATATACGACGTTTTCGCCACATCCGAACTGCAGCCGTGGAACGACGGTAGCAAGTCTACGGACGACAAAGCGGAAAAAATGAAAATTGTGCAACCTATCGTTAAAAGCCAAATTGTCAGAATACTACCGATTAATGAAAAACCAACAGACCATGATAAAGAGGAGGATTTTTAGGGAAAATTTTCTCTTGACAGGACCCGTGACATAAAAGCAACGGAGACGCCTCCGGCTTCTCGTTTTCATTTGATATGATGTTCTTTACGATCCCTCGTGAGCTGATTATTTAAATTGATGGACAAAAATATAGACAAAGAATACATAGGGAGTATGCAGCGATCCTATTCTTCCACGCTAAGGAAAAACGACGTATGAACATTCGAGAGTTGTCAAGTTTCCTTTGATGAAATGTTTATTTTTGAGGAAAATATGAATATTTTTCCTTGAAATTTTCAGAAGCCTTTGATCAAAATACAAACAAAATTCCCTGAAAAATTGGAGGAAAAATACTCATAAGTTTACCAGGGAATTCATGTTTTATCAGCCGACAATTTGACATCGCCTGAAGGTTCATATGGCGTTTTTCCTTGCCACGGCAGTATTGGTTGGAATGAGTGGTTCCTATAGGCTAAGGGAGAAAATGATGGACTATCTGTAGGGTCTCTCGTGAGTTGCCGTTCGTTAGTCTATTACCTACATCTTTTGTCTATAGCAACCACCATCTCCACCAATAAGATCCCCCCATATCTCTTTTGTCTTCTTTATCTGTAGCTACGTTTCGTATCAAGAAAGTTATAAGCTCTCAAAGTTTCCACATAACGTCCGTTTTCTCACTACTTCAGAACAAAAGGCTTTGCATTCTCAATCATAACTTCATGAAATTCGCGTGGAGGAGTGCCGAAATATACCTTTTTCAACGCTGCTTTTTTCAAAATTGGGACAAAAAGTATAACTTTAAAAGCTCACCGTGCTTAGTAGGTCGTAAAAACATCATATCAAATAATAAAGCAATTGAGCCGGCACCAAATCCCAGGCTTTTCCGTCCAGGGTGACATGACATCCCACCGACGAAATTATTATTTTACGGATTTAACCGGGTTCACTCTAATTGCATTTGACGTTGCTCAATTTTCTATCATGTCCAGTTTTTTAACAGAGAACCGAACTATACCTAACTCCTTTCAACGTTTTGAGAGTTTACCATGGATTATGGAGAAAATAGTCTAAAAATTCCAAGTTATAGTGCTGCTTGGTTTTCTGTTTAGAGAATTAAACATTAGAGAAAATTGGGCACCATCTGATATAGTTACGTTAATTACAGGTTGCGTTTTGTCCAAATCTAGGACGGTCCAAATCCGGCTTTGTCGAAATAAAAATTCACGGTATTTAATTGCAAAAATACGAAGAGCTGATTGATATGTAAGCCGTGAAGCCACGCAAACGCGTGACTAGACTGCATTAGTTTCAACAATTTTACTCCTACCATACTTTTTAAAGAGCATGATACAGAGATTTTTTTCGAAATTTTCGGCGTATCTTTTGGAAAGGGAAAAGCAAAGATACACAGAATTTTGTGAAATATCGATATGATCAGTAATAAGTTATCCCTTAGAAAATTACCTATGGTAAGATCCGAGATCTGAACCGTGGGCTCGCGGTTTTACTATTGATGTGGGGTACAATGTTAGAAAATTGTACAAAATTGAAACGATCAAGCTAAACGCATACATTTAAAACGAAGGCTACGAAAACTGAGGCGTAAACTAACGGTGGTTGTATTATGTTTGCAGCCTTTCATTAATAAGAAAATGTGATAATAGGAAAAGCTAAGAGATAGTGAATTGTTTTTATTGTTTTTTTGTTTTTTTTTTTTTGTAATAAAACTCTAAATAACGTTCTAAATTTTTTCTTTCATTTCCCAAAACCACTCGACTCAACCTAGGGTAAAGTTTAAGGACGATTTTAGGGTTGTGTGATAGCGACCGAAACCAGAATGTATTTTTAACTACACTATCAGCAGCGCTATGCATTTATGTCACATGACGATGGCCCCTGTACTATTATGCAACTCACAGAGTCACAGTGCATACAAAGAAATTTTTCTAGAAATCAGGAAAATTAGAAATCGGAGAAAATCGCACTGGCCATGTTACCTATAAGCCATTCACGAGCACATTCACATTTTATGTTAGTTTCACAGTTATATACTGGAGACAAGAGGACTGAGCTGGCACAAAATTGAAATTGTCACGCATGTAAACAACAAATTCAGCACCTCCTTCCATACAAAATGAATGGACTGAAAATGAAAAATATCTCCGGAGGGTCCGTACCAGAAGACACCCTGCTCATGCAACTTGGAACAAATCATGATCGACTTGTACGAGCGAGTAAATGAAAACAAACGGAGCTATTTCATTATTTACAAGAAAAAAGGTAACATAAAAAAATGAGGCCCGAGCTGTATGTAACAAGAAGGTACAATAGTGCTGGGTCCACTTTATTTTGCAAGGAAAACAAGACCAAAAGTTCAAAACTTTTAAATTGAGTAAAAAAGTCTAAGCTCTAATGAGTATCATTACGTGACTGTCCTCAGTCAAGACTGTGACCCCTCAGTCTTGTACTGATACTAATTAGAGCTCAAAATGTTTGACTCTATTTGAAATTTTTATAAGTAACAAGGTGGTGAAATAGTTCTGAGTTCACACTACTTTGCGGGGAGATTGATGCCAAAAAGTTCAAAAATCCAAATGGAGTCAACATCTTTGAGCTCTAATGAGATCAGTACATGGCTCTACCCCCTCAGACATATGCTCTTTCAAGCTCAAAATTTTTGACTCTGTTTGAAATTTTCGCCTTGTTTTTCGGCAAAATAGGGTGGACCAAGTATTATTTCACCACCTCATTCGTTCCCAAATGTCAAAAAGCCCTGGTAAAAATTGGCAGTAGAATCTGTGTTCCAAAATACCATAGACCTACAGCCGGCTGTAAGATTTCCAATAGCTTCTATAGTCGGCTACACAATTTCTTATAGCCTTTGTTCAATGGGGTAATTATAATCATTTCTATAATAATCTCTTTTGAATAAAATCTTGATATAAAGGGCCGATGGCGATTAAGCAACAGCCTGGCGATAAAGTGTATGCTAAACGTTACTAATTACGGATGCTAGGACTTAGTGAGTTTTTGGAATACTGCTCTCTTTTTGGGCCGTAGTATCCTGATTTGTTTTGCGAGGAAAGTTCCGTACTTTTGATGGATGCCTGCCATTCCTAATATATTAGAGCGCCTTCAGTTTCGTATGATACTGTGCAATACCTCTGGTGTGAAATAGATGCTTCATGCGCCGTGGCAGGCGGGCAGCCAGCGCGAAACACGCATTGGCGCCTACAAACCTAACAGGGATACTTCACGCGTTGCGCAATGCGTGAAGTATCCCAGTTAGGTTTGTAGGCGCCAGTGCGTCGCCGCTCCGCTTTGTGTTAGGCTCTAATATTTAATCTGGCGGAGTCAGCGTTATTCAACTCATGATTTTGAAATGTTTGCACATCCTGTATGGATTATTCTCATTTTTGTTGATGAAAAAAAAAATATGTATTAAAGGAAAATATAATGTGTGTTTTGTAAATATTAAGGTGGTTCCGTATCAAACTTAATGATTTCCAAAGCACACGAATTTCTACATAATTTCTCATAGCCTTTTATAATCGATGTCGGAAAAGCAACAGCCAGGCGATAAAGTGTAAAGCCCGGCGATAGGAACTATAGCCCGGCTGCATACTTTTTTATCGCTTCGCATAGCCCGGCCGTATGATTTTCTCCGCATTCTACAGCCAGCTATATGATTTTCTGTAGCCTTCTTTAGCCGGCTATAAGAATTCCTATGGTATTTTGAAACGCAGCTCTCATCGCCAATTTTTACCAGGGAGAGTAGAACAATTTGTGCTCTAGTGAGTATCGTACGAAACTGAGGGAATACAGTCTTGACTGAGTACAGTCATCTGCTGATACTCATTAGAGCTCAGAATTTTTTACTCGATTTGAAATTATTGAACTTTTTGGCCTGACTTTGTGTTCCCCACAAAATAGTATGGACACAGCACTATTTCACCACATTGTTACTTACCAAATGTCAAACAGAGTCAAACATATTTAGCTCCGTTGAGTATCGCACAAAACTGACTGATTGTGAGTACAGTCATGTACTGATACTCATTAGAGCTCAAAATGTTTATGTAATTTTGAACTATTCGACCTTGTCCCCCACAAAATAATATGAACCCAACACTTTTTATTTGCTAATTTGTTTTACTCTTCATTGGAAAAAACACATTGGATCTTGAGTCCAGACTCTTAAAAACATCGACAGGAAAAAGTACTCTTGATTCGATCAGAATCTAGCTTAAATCAAGAACCAAGCCTAAGCGGATTTCGTTTTGATTCAAACAAAAATCCGATTGAATTAAGAGTATTTTTTCTTGCCAATGTTTTTAAGAGTCTGGACTCTAGATCCAATGTGTTTTTTTCCCCCAGTATCTTGAGAATAAATTGGCAGAGCTGGTTGCCGAACGGGAGGCAGAAACTGCCTTGATAGCGAAGAGAGCAGTAAGTGCATTTCTGTATGAGACATGGTTATCACATGCATTTATGGGTCTCGAGGCTCATCTCAGCATGGACTTACTGCTCTCTTCGCTATCATGGCAGTTTATGCCTCCCGTTCGGCTACCTAGCTCTGCCAATTTATTCTCAAAACACTGGGAAACAAAAATACATTGGATCTAGAGTCCAAACTCTTGAAAACATTGACAAGAAAAAATACTCTCGATTCAATCGGATTTTTGCTTGAATCTAAACGAAATCCGCTTAAATTAAGAGGCTTGGTTCTTGATTTAAGCTAGATTCTGATTGAATCAAGAGTATTTTTTCTAGTCAATGTTTTAAAGAGTCTGGACTCTAGGTCCAATGTGTTTTTGTTTCCCAGTGTTTTGAGAATAAATTGGCAGAGCTAGTAGCCAAACAGGAGGCAGAAACTGCCGTGATAGCGAAGAGAGCAGTAAGTCCATGCTGGGATGAACCACGAGACCCATAAATGCATGAGCTAACCATGGCTCACACAGAAATGCACTTAGTGCTCTCTTCGCTATCACGGCAGTCAAGTGGACTCGAAACACCCCGCAAGGTTGTCATGCTGAGATGAACCTCGAGACCCATAAAAGCATGTGCTAACCATGGCCCATACAGAAATGCACTTACTGCCTTCTTCGCTATCACGGCAGTAAAGTGGACTCGAAACGACCCGCAAGGTTGTCGGGCGAGTAGGACGGGCGCTCGGCGGGCGGAATGACGGATGCAAAGTGGGATCAGTAGATCGTGGCGCTTGGCGGAACCGCATCGAGGCCCGCGGAGATGGTGATAAGACGTCTAGTGCTCTTTATCTTATCGAACGTGAAAATTGATTTGGACTCACGGGGCGATCCGAGATGACACAGCCAGTCATGTAGATCCCCCCGCCTTGGGAAGCATACTTTCGTGCAGTTCCTGGGTCTGTCCCGGTGTCGAGTTTCCCGAGTTTTGGATGTTTTTTTCGAAGTTGCGGATCAGCTGGACCCAAAATGGTTCTCGGTGAGTAACGAATTAGGGTGTCTATTGGTCTCTACCCTGCCGTTCGAATTCCTTGCTTTTTCAGTTCTCTTTCCTTGCTTCCCCGAAAATTCCTTTCTTGGCGATTCTCAAAAATCCTTGCTTTTCCCTCGCTTTTTCCTTGCCCCACACGCATTTTTAACTATATTCGGATTGGAAAAGTGGAATGATGGAGTGATGGAGTGACGAAGAAATAAACCGAAAAACACGAGGAATCGAACCGGGATGTTGATAAATAGATTATGTTAGGAAATCACACACGACCAATGCTACCTTCTATAGTTTGTCACAAAAATCTCGAATTTCCGTACCTTTTTACCGAAAATTCGTACCTTTTCCGTGCTTCCGTACAAACCTTCTGAAATCCCTGCTAATTCAGTGTATCCGTACTTTCCCCGTACAGTAGACACCCTGCGAATTATCATCACGATAAGCTCTCCGACCCCTTGAATATCACCATTCGTTCTACTCGGTCGATTTCTATTATTTTCGCAGCTTGCGATAGCAGATAGTCCCTGAACGAGCTCCGCTCTATCTAGATTAAGTGGACGGCATTTTCGATGTGGAACTACAATTTTTGATTCAGTTCAGAAACAACGTATGTGCCCTTAGTTTTCCTATGTACATACGTGTATTTACGGATGTTTCAGAAATTTTGTACCTACTTGCAAAGTATAGACCAATTAACGAGGGCCCGCGAAGCGTCTGCCAGGGGTTGGGCCGCGTTGCAGCCGGTGGGGGTGGATGTACCTCCGAGGATTGAGGAACATACACTACTATGACGATTTCTGACCGAATTTTCTTTTGAGCGATTTATGTCAAAATGGATCGGGGAAAACCCTCTTAAAAGTCTTAAATAGTAGGTTACGAGCATTTCCGTTCATTTTTCCGACAGTAAAGGGAGTAAATTTGTATTTTCACCCTGGCGATTTGGGGTGATTTTATGCGCACATGACAGATTAGTTAGTAGGTAAGATGACTATTGCTCCCTTAAGATTGTCTATAAAAAAGTGTTGAATCCCCAAAAATAACAACGTCCACCTATCGCCGAGAGGCCAGTGGATGGTCTCTTATTTCTAGTTATACTATTCGCCACGACACCTTCCTGAAGTCCAGGAAGTTCTACCGGAACATTTAATCCAATTCATTATTGGGACACTACCGCAATTAATGCGTTGGATGCAGAAAGGACATTTCTATGTTGCAATGTTTAAGAATCTCCACTGCTAATTTGAATTTTACAGAGGAAACTATTGGGTGAATTTTTTTGAAATTTTTCGTATTCAGCATTGTAAAATTATGAAGACAATTCGGTAAAATGTTCGACAAATTCCACGTATTTGCTCAATTGTAATGGATGAAACGTTATTAGCAAAGATTCTGAGACACCGCAACCAAGAAATGCCCTTTTTGCACCCAGCGCTTTAATTGATGGGGAAATGTCTTAGTTGATACTTGATCCCTACCTCCTATTTTTTTTCAAGGCTGCAGTGAGAATCCTAGTTGTCTCGGAAAGGTTGGGGGAAATAATAAAACTAAAAAAAAAAAAAAAAAAAAAAATAAAAAATTCCCCCCCCCCCCCTCAAAAAACAAAACAAAAAAACATAGCTTTATGTCAGATAAAACAATGCAGTTTTTTTCGAGCCCAATAAAACTTTTCCTCAGTGTGATCCTATAAACTTCGCAACACCTCATCAGAGAAGAACTCAATTTGACGAAAGTCTCGACACGCCCGGAACAGGTTAATCATGGGATCGTTACGCATCGGACGAGGCTCGGCCTAGACCAGTAGTGAGACGTGAATGATCGACTATCGATATTTCCCAGTTTGAGGCTATGATAAAGAATCGATTATTAAGGTGTTCGTTGCGAACACCCTGTTTATTGATCCTTTTCCATAGGTTTAGATGGCAGATCAATCGATATATCGCAAAGCACGCCACGCCACTGGTCTAGACAAGAGGACGTGATACGATTTGCCCCCGAGCGTTTTCTGCCGGGCCTGGTCCTAGCTGTCCTGCTCCAAAAAGGTAGTCTCCGTGTAAACAAGAGAGCAAAACTCATCAATCTTTCTCAAAGTTGTCTCTCCTACATCCAGACCTAAAGTTAAGACAAAACGTCCTGCAACAAATATTACTACTCGGGCAAGGTTGCCATAATTCATATATCTTCAAAGTCCCTGACTATCCACTATTTTTCCCTAACTAATTTATTCTCTCTCGACTCTAAAATTCTCTAATTGCCTGACTTTCCCTGACCTTCGAACACAATTTCCGCCTTTATTTTTTTTCTTCTGAAAATACGCTGATTTTTGCTGAAATTTGCACCAAATTTCCTTCTTTAGAGATCAAATATGATCGACGAAGACTTTCAGTTAAAGGTTAAAAGATGACGGATGACGATCCCTACACTATATTGAAGATAAATTTTAGGGATTAGTAAAACCAGAAATTCCATAACTTTCTCGACGAATTCTCTGACTTTCCCAGTTTTGCAGACAATCGGCAACTCTGCTAGGGTGACAGGTTCTCTTGAATTATAAGGAAACCAGCGGGCTGATATTGAAATTGATAGACAAACCAGACGAAGAAAAAATGGAGAGATCCTACTGGTGGAGGCGGGTGGTTGCAATTGACAAAGAGATGATGTAATAATAGACTAGCTAACACCACCCACGAGAGATCCTATAGTTAGTCCATCATTTCCCCCTCACTCCTCAGTCTTTAACAACCACATCTTTCGTACAGTAGGGTTGCTTTATTTTCCTTTTGTCTGTTGGTTTCTTTATCAATTTCAATAATCAGCCCGCAAAGGTTAATATTCATAAAGATGCGTGTTGAGTAAACTTTTGAGCTAAGCTGCATCTTCTTACGGTCAAATTGAGCTGTTCACGATGTCAAAACTGGCCTGAGCGCGATAGCCTGTGAGATTTTTCCTTCCCCCTTTCCCCTCAAAATTGTTTTAGTGAAATAATCACAAAAATTTGCTCCTGTGAGTTTGTGTGATTGAAATATGACCCGAACACACTAACAATCATCGAAATACTCCAGATCGGGGTGCTTTGCTATAATGAAGAAACGTTCAATCGTTGCACTTACGTATTGCCGCTGACAATTAATTCGATCGTTTAACGATTTTAAGAGTTTCATTGTATTTCTATCCCCGCATTGCGTCAAAGTTTGAGAATCAGCTAAAAGGTAGTCCTGATTCTGCAACTTGGCAACTTTCTGTTTTGGCGCTCACTGCAGACGCCGCACGTAAACGCCTAACGCCCAGGTTGGTGAAGTTGGCACGGTAAACGACGAGGAAATCGAACGTCGCGTCGTAATTTATACTTATTTGTATACGATTATGTATCCTGTGAAAAGGACATGACATTACAAAACAAAAACCCGTTAGAGACAGTTAAATCAACGTCAATTGATTATAAAACTTCGTCGAAAAAATATTGTGCTGCTTCAGCGTCTAGGATGTCAAAAATGTGTCTAGTGAATGACTAATAGTGATATCCCCTGGTGGCGTGGTGTGCTTCGTGATACATCGATTGATCTACCATTTAAACCTACGTAAAGAGATCGATACAAAGGAAGTTTGCAAAAAATGCCTTAATAATCGATTTTTTACCACAGCTTTAAATGGGGAAATATCGATGATAGATCGTTCTCGCGTCAGACTGCCCTTACTGTTGAATTTTAATTGGCATGATTTGAAATTAATGGGGGGGGGGGCACTTAAGTCACAGGATTGTCACAGAATTTAGAAAATGAAATTCCCTTACATTTCCCTGATTTCCCTGACACATTTTGATGAAATTCCTTGACAATTGAAGATGTGACGGACAGGTTAAGGGCATAATTGAAAATAGTTTTCGGGCAAAATTTCTTGTTAAAGATCTCAAACCCATTCTAGAAAGCAAATGAAGGTGATTTAACAAATTTTTCCTGACATTTTCGTCATTTTCCCTGACATTTACCATTTTTCTCTGACTTTTTAAAATTCCCTGGCGTTTCCCGGTTTTCCCTGACTGCGGCAACCCTAAAGCCAGCATCTAGGGGTAGCAAGACAGATTTTTGGCATCTGAGATGATATATACCTTTTTTAAACTTGGGATTTTTCAAATTATTTGAATTTGTTCCAGTACGAACGAAATTATGGTACTTCGTGTTCACCGGGTTCGCCATAAACACGATGCTAAAGAGCAGCATAAATTTTACGATAATTGCCATGGTAAAATCACACGGTCATAAAAACATCCCGCCAGAGAACGGCACGATCCTTGAACCGCACAATTCGACGGACTTCACTACCCAGGGTATCACCCTTTCAAAAATCATCCACTTCATCGACAAGGTAAGAATATTATTTTCTCACCGATTTCATTTATTTTCCTACAATTTTTAAAGGAACACTATAGTGTATGCCCGATCATTAAAAAAGGGCCTATAGTGCCGAAAACTCAAAAGTGAGCCATCGGCCTCAAACGTCGAACAATACTTACGAGCGAGCAACGTTTAGCGTCACAGAATGTGGCTCCTGAGTTAAAAACAGAGCACGGGTCGCCTTCAATTCGGCGGGTAGGCAAAAGAGGGTGCTTCCGCCTCGAAATAGTTGCAACTTTCATTAAGAGTTTATAATAACACGAAAATCTCGAATTTCCGTACTTTCCCACGGAAAATCCGTACATTTCCCGTACTTCCGCACCGACCCTCCTATAAATCAGTGCTTTTTCAGTGTATCCGTACTTTTTCCGTTCAATAGACACCCTGATTTTAATTATTTTTTGATGCAGGAAATGTCGTACAACTGGGATGCGAAGGAGCAGGGTGTCATTCTGGGATCCATCTACTGGCTGCAATGGACCACGGGGATACCATCGGGGATTTTGGTGCGATATTGGGGCACCAAAGCTCTGTTTGGCCTGGGTAGTCTTATACTCGCGTTTACCACGCTGGCTATACCTACGGTTGCCCAGTACGGAGTCCAAGCTTTGGTCGGCCTCAGAGTAGCCCAGGGCCTCGTGGCGGTAAGTAAGCTTTGCGATTTATCGATTAATCTGCCAGGTAAACTTATGGAAAAGTCAATAAACAGCTGTGGCGTAGCGTGCTTTGCGATACATCGATTGCTCTGCCATGTAAACCTATGAAAAAGGATCGATAAACAGTGTTCGCAACGAAAACTTTAAAAATCGATTTTTTAACATACTTTCAAACGGGGAAATATCGATAATAATACTCGCGGTTACCTTGTTGGCTATACCTGCATGCGGTTGTCCAGTGCGGAGTCCAAGCTTTGATCGGCCTCAAAGTAGGCCAGGGCCCCGTGGCGGTAAGTTCATACATAAATTCCAGAATCAGTGGCGTGCCGTGCTTCACGATATAACGATTGCTCTGTCAGTTAAGCTTGTGGAAAAAGATCGATAAAAAGCAGTGACGTGGCGTGCTTTGCGATAAATCGATTGACATGCCATTTAAACCTATGGAAAATTATCGATAAACAGCAAAGGCTGTTCGTGCTTTGCGAAATACCGATTGCTCTGTCACTTAAACTTATGGAAAAGGGTCGATAGACAGCAGTGGTGTAGTATGCTTAGCGATAAATCGATTGATCTTCCATTCAAACCTATCGCAAAGGATCGATAAAGAGAGAGTTTGCAACGAAAACCTTGTAAATCGATCTTTTACCATAGTTTCAGACGGGGAAATGTCGATAATCGATCGTATACGCCCTTCCACCGATAAACAGGATGTTGGCAACGAACACCTTATAGTAATCGATTTTTTACCATAGCTTCTAATGGGGAAATATCGATAATCCATCATTCAGATTAGATTAGATTAGATTAGATAGAATACTTTATTTTTTATCCTGGGGAGGATTTAACAAAGGGGGTTAGGTTGGGAGATCATTTACAAACATGAGATTACTTCATTATGCTACACTTATCTCTAGGATATGCTGGGCTTACAATTATGTACATGAAATAGCAGCGTTCATGATAGGCAAACTTTGTTTTTTGATTCAGTTATTCATTTATTATGAACGATCTTATACTCAGAATTGTCGCAAAATAATTATAAATATCTGTAAGCTGTTGCTCGTTTGAGTCTTTACTAAGAATTAGGTTTATGTCTTTGTTAAGGTAGCTGTGTAAGTAATATTTTCGAGTGCTATGGTAAATGGGGCAGACAAAGAATAAGTGGTGCGCATCTTCAGGTTGTTGAGTATTACAAATTGTGCAAATTTCGTTAGGGTTAATTCTATGGTTCATCTGATTGATAGTGATGTTAAGGGAGTTAACATTTCTCGCTCGTAGTTGGCTGAATAGTCTTTTTTTCGCAAAACTCACTTTACGATGTAAATAATTATGGTTGGCATCAATATTCTCAGTGTTAATTAGGTTGTAATGGGGGACAAACTTTGTTTCATTTAACTTTTCTTTGTCTTTTTCCATGGTAAGTTCTGATATTTTTCTCTGAACTTCATTTACCATTTTCCTGATCGCAGCTGGTTCTGTGGTTTCTCTAAGAAATAGATATTCTTGGTCAATTTTATGTAACATGGCTTTTAATTGAGAGAACCAGTTGTATTTAATTATATTGTACCTACTTTCATCTAGTTCTTTGAGTCGGGCCAAGCATATTTTAGGGTACCTGGACTCGTGCATATTTTGTACTCTGTGGTACCAATTCAGCGTAGATTTCAATACCTTTGTTTCTATATTATCTTTGCCGGTTTCTTGTCTTATGACATAGTGGGGTGTGCATCTTTGCCATCGAAAAACGGATTTGAAAAATCTGCTTTGAGCAGACTCAAGCATATCACAATACCTGAGAGCCCAAATTTCTGCCGCATATAGTAGAGTTGCTAGTGTGACCGAGTCCCATAACTTTAATACGGATTTGAAAGAGTTATTTTTCGCTTTTTGTAGTATTTGTATCACGGAACTTCCGGCTATAGCTGTGCGGGATATTGCGTCATCAGCTTGCATTGCAAATAGTCCGCTGCTTGTAAATTTGACACCTAAGTACACGTAGTGTTTTACAACTTCAATTTCTTCGCCTCCATATTTGAAGCGTGGGAGTTTATCTGGTTTTCTGCCACAGTGACAGGGTAGTATTTTTGTTTTAGAGACGTTTACTATGAGGTCATTTTCTAAACAGTATTTTTCTAGGTAATTTAATTTTCTTTGGGCGTCGATTGGGGACTCGGCCAAAATAACTAGGTCGTCTGCATAGGCAAGGAGTAATATATCAGTACTTATCGTTACATTTATACCTCGTACATGCTTCCTAAGCACTGTTTCGATGTCGCTAATAAAAAGAATGAAAGCTAAGGCGCTAAAGGGGTCACCTTGTAAAACTCCCTTGCTGACTTTAACAGGTTTGCTTAGCATGCCATTTACGTCTACCATAACATTGGCGATTTTGTACAGATTTTGCACTATTTTTATTAAGTTCGCAGTTACTCCTAAATTATAAAGTTTTATCCACAATTTCTGGTGGTTAACCGAATCAAATGCTTTTTTGAAATCTACAAAAATCAAGTAGGCTTTTTGTTTTTTCAGTTTCTGAAACTGGATAATGGAATTTAACACAAAAATGTTGTCATTGCAGCCTCTCTTCTCTCTAAAGCCAGCCTGGTTTTCAGGTAGCAAATTATTAATTTCAATGAGTTTAGTGACTCTTTTAGTGACTAAATAGGTGAGAATTTTGGCTAATGAGTTGATAAGTGCAATACCTCTATAATTGTCGGGGTCGTTTGGGTCACCTTTTTTGTATAACATGGATAATTTAATTTCACCCCACTTTTTTGGGATTTCTCCTTTTTCCATTACATTGTTTAGTATTCGCAGGAGAGCGGATTTCCCTTTTCCATTCAAGTTTTTATAAAATTCATAAGGAATGCTGTCTGTTCCCGGGGTTTTGTTATTTTTTAAGCTATCCAATACAGAGTTTAATTCTTTAGTTTCAATTTTCCTATCCAGAACTGGGTGTCTAGCATCTTGAAAGACAGTATCTGCTTCAGGGATGGTTTCATAAAAATTTTCCAAGTATTTTTCCCAGGTTTGGGTATCTACGGAACTCTTTTGTGTTTTGTTGCACCTTAGTTTTTTAATGGTTTTCCAGAACTCGGAGGGGTTCTTGGTATTAGCCACTGCGTTTTGGATTTCACTTGCGTTGGCCTTCTTTTTCCTTTTTATTAAGCTCGAGTACATTTCTTTTTCAAAAAGGAGATTTTTGCAGCTGTTTTTTGAGAATTTTTCTCTCCTAGCCTGTCTAGCTGCTTTTTTAACTTTACGTTTTTGAATTCTGCATTCTTGGTCAAACCAGTTATTTCTGTGCATATTGGAACTTATTTTTCTTTTTACAGTGTGGCTAAGACCTGTTTCACTGGCAGATTTTTTTATGGCTGTAAGCAGAGTATTGTAATCATCTATTTCACGGTTTTCTTTTTCCTCTGTCTCTGCCAGTGAGCTGGCGAGTCGTGAGTTAAAGTTTTTAGAAAGGTCATTATTCCATTTAAATATTGTGACTTCTTTTCCCGATACGGGGCTTTTTCTACCATTATTATCTGCAAGTGAAACTAGGTTTGACATCAATGTTAGGCTGCATGGGAAATGATCTGATACAGGGAAGTTAGGAATCACTTTAAAGTCATTTATAAATTCTGCAGATTTTACACTAATCCACGCCAGGTCAATTATACTTTTTCCTGGGTTACCTACAAATGTATACTGAGCAGGGGAATCTGAGATCGTTCTACCATTCATCAACAGCATGTTTGCTGATTCCATAGTTGCTGTAATTAGCTTTCCTCGCTTATTTATTTTTCCATCTGTTGTCTCTCTATTCACAGTTAATTTAGTTCCAGCAAGAAGTTCCTCATCAGTATAATTTAACTGATTTAGGTTACCTACCCAGGCATTGAAATCTCCAAGGGCAATGATGTGAGAGTCTGGGGATCGTTCCATTATATCGTTCATAGTTGCTTCTAATAGTTCGACACTCACATAACTGTCCCGGGATGAATTTATATAAATTGCACCAATTATAAGATTACTAAATTGACCTTGTAACTCAACAAATATCCACATGTCTGATATGTCTAGGGTATGGATCTGTTTCATTTTTGATAAAAGAGAATTTTTTATCATAATTGCAATGCCGCCTGATGCTCTTCCTCTTGACTTTTCTTTAATTGCATTGCTGAATATTATTTTAAAATTATGAAAGGTTTGATTTTTTACCTCTTGTGTGAGCCATGTTTCATTTAGAGTGATTACATCGTGACTTAGGATTACTTGTAGATCTTCATTAGGGAGGTTGGTCAGGTTTGACCATCCTTTGCAATTCCAATGAAGTATTTTCAGGCTGCCAGGGGTTTCGTTGTTGTCAGACTTGCTTGCTTGAGTTATCCTCTGATTCGTTGGGGCGGTGTGCATTACTCTGCTTCTCGGTGATGAAGGCACTGTCGGAGGAGGGTGTTGCAGGTAGGGAGTCTGCTCTGGGGCGAAAAAAGTTGTCCAGGTTGCATCGGATGTGGTTGGCTTTTGACTTGGTAGCTGTTTTAGGGGGCTTTTTTTCTTCTCGTTTTCGCTTCCTCATGGATTCTCCGTTCTCTGGTACATGGTTGTCATCTTGGTGTTCCTCCGTGGGTATGGCCGGGACGTGATCACCGTATTTCTTTTTTAGGTCATCAAAGGATTTAAGTTCACCATTGATAATTAGCTTGCCGCTTTTCCATTGACATTTAGCGCCTTTACTTATTTCTAATTTTCGCACATCATTTAGGTATTTGCGCTTCTGTCTTTCTTCGGGAGATAGGTCATCTGACAAGAATAAGTCAGAGCCTTTTAACTTAGGGCCACTTTCCAAAATTTGCCATTTCTTTAGGTTAGTTGTTAGCGAAAGTAGGATAGGCCGGGGATTTTTGTGCGGCTTGCCCAGGCGGCGCACCCAGTTAATGTCTGAGTTGTTTATTACGATTTTTAGATTTTCTGTAAATGCAATCTTGATTTTGTTCACCAAGGTATCTCTGTCTTCTCTGGTATTTTCTGGGATACCATATATGACTACATTATTTAAGCGGTTCATTGCACTCACGATTTCCTTTTGTTTTTCCAGGGCAATTTTCAGGTTTTCATTCTCAGATTTCAGGTCTTGATATTGTTTGTCTTGCTGTTCGCGAATCTCAGTGATCGCATTTTTTAACACACTAGTTTGTTGTTCTATTTCAGTTTTAAGATCGTTTCTGAGGTCAATTCGCATTTGCTCGAAAAATTTTGCTAATTCGTTCTTATCCATTTCGGATTGATTGATAATGTTTACAAACACGCTCGGTGACTAGATCGATAGGTCGATAGGTCGATAGGTCGGCTAGAATTCTTGCGGCGAGATTCGATATCAGGATCCGAGTCGTCTCGGAAGAAGCCGAAGCGCGACGCGACACGGGCCGTCAAGATCAAGGTTATCTGATCACAGCTGATTGTTATCACGATTATCACCGAACATTCTAGAAATCAGGACACTAGTATAGGAGCACTTTATTTGTTATTTTCTTTCGTTTCACCGAGATCCGGCGCGTATTAGTATCATTATTCCGAAATTCGATATCACGAGCACTTCCCTGTAATAAATTTCACTTGAAACTTTCGTAAAAATACTTTAAAATCTTTAAAATTCCGGGAGCACGGGAGCACACTTCCGATTCGGTCGACGTGACAACCTAACCTCTCTAATCCATCATTCATGCCTAGCCTCTGTTCAGAATTTTGCGAGTTTTCCTTCATTCGCCTTCGAGTAATCGCGAATCAAAATGAAAATGAAGTGCGTGCGCTGATAGGAAAGATAAGACCGTGAAGGTGAAATTTCTGTTTCGATAGCGGATTTTTCGAGTAAGGCTGTAATTACACAGGGAAGAATCAAATTAAGTTTTTATTAAGAAGGGAAAATGTAGAAAGATGTCTAGAGGTATTAGTAAAGAAGACAAAACTAAATTTCGGAAGTTCTTTGAATGAAAGATAAAAATCGCCACGTCCTGATACGTCGATCAATATCGATAAACATGGCTAAATAATTGACGAGTCGATAGTCGATAAAAAAATTAGCGAAAACATGTCAATTTTTTTTTTTTTTTTTTTTTTTTTTTTTTTTTTTATAAAAGACGAGAGATGTACGTTTGCAATCTGAACGTAATGATGAAAAGAAACCCCTACTTATTAGTCTCTTGTTGTGGTAGGGTGAGAGAATTGGCTTAAAAAGGTGAGTAAAATGTTCATGGAAACGAAGAAAATTCACGCACTTGCCACAATACAAAATATTTAGTCGTGACAACCAGAGATTTTTCTTCATGGCAAGTACTCTTTCGCTGTCTCGATTAAAATTTGATCTGTCGGGCAAAGTCGGTTTTCGGAAAAACTGCCGAGGAGCTTTTTTGGTTTTGTTTTGATGTTGAGATGAATCTATTTTTTCTCGCTGTTAAGGAGGCTTATTTACGTGAACTTGCATTAAATCACATGGGCATACTTGAGAGGAGTGAGCAGGAAAAATTCAATTATTTTTTTTCTTGAACTTGAGACGCAGATTTTCAACGATTGATCCAGATGTTGCATTGAAGAAACTACTTCATGCAAAAAAGAATAATTTGGAAACATGCCAATCTGCGTTCTCAATAAGGTACACCAGAACCACAGTCCTGTTGTTTTCAAATGTGCTTTCTTGTTTTGGTCCTTTTGTATAGTATCTTTTAGTATCATTTTCGTTTTAACCCAAAATCATGAGCTGCATTGATGTATAATATACAGGGTGATCCAGGGTTAAACGGCCAGACTGCTGGAGCCGAAACACCCCCAAACCACCTCTGCAAATTGAGATTTCGATTTTTTTATTAGATCATTTATGAATTTAGCGCATAAAAGTACAGGGGAGTACAATTTTCAAGAGATTTGGTTCACAACCGTTGCCAAAATTCAGGAAAAACCATTTACTTTCCGAAATTTTTGGGGGAATGTAGCTTCGACTGGGGGCGCTTTTGGAAAAAAAACTTTATACAACAAAACATATTATTTAGAACACGCTCCTGCAGTCCGGCCGTTTAACGCTGGATCACCCTGTATGATAGCGCTCTGGCCAACATCTTTCGTTGTAAAATCGCATGATACTGAAGTTTTGCAATTGGGCTGTAGCCTGTAGTCATAATATGTTCCATGAGGACTAGGATTGGTACCTTAAAGTCAATAATTCATGCTGCAACTAGTTTAATGCGCACTCGCACTGGAGGAAGATTTCAAAATCGATATGATCGCAAATGGGTTAACACGGTAAGGAACACTCGGTTCCAAAATACTCAGACTTTGACCTAATTTTGAGTCGAATCTTGATTGTGAAAACGTCATTAAGATTACGAACGACCGAGGGCGATAATGAATGGTAGAGATTACAACGATGTTGGATCCAAACAGCAAGAGGGCATCTTCAAAATGACACCGTGATTGAATGGGGAGTGATCTGATTATTCTTTTGAATTTTTGAAGTATAATGCGAGTAAAACCATGCACAGTGATGCATAGTCAGGCAACTTATTGTTAGTAAGCCTTTTCCTTCACTAGGGTTTTAATGTTTTAAAGGTAAACTAAGGTGCTTAAAGGAAAAGGCGCATACGTGCAGTTTTTGCTACGTCGAGAAATACGTGTTCAATTTTCGAAATTACATGGATTCTTAAGGCGGAGAGAAAGTTCAAACTGACTTTAAGCAGAAGCGGATCCAGCAATTGGGCATTACCGGGTTTCCTTCATTTAGGCCGATGTTAAATAATATGCTCCGACAAGAGTCGATACATTTCTACACGTTTAAATAGAGAAAAACCAATGCTACCAATTCGCTGGGTCCGCCAATGACTTTGCGATGCTTATAAATTGGAATTTGGAAGCGAATTTTTCTAGGAATATGCGTCAAGATAAGTTTTACTTGGAATCGTTAATACCTCAATTTTTTCAAAAACTGCACTTAAGCGCCTGGTCCTCCAAGCCCCTCAACAGATTCTTTGGAGTTTAATTAAGGAATTTGCTTCACTCTTAAAAAAAGGAAGACAACTTTAGAATGTTAAAAAGAAGTATTTCGGTTATCGTTTTCTTTAAGAGAAATACTAAACATAATCGGAAATTTTGATTATTGCGATTGAGCTGTGCATTTTTTGCGAGTAGCCGTCGATATATCCAATTCGACGGGAAATGATCGCTAATCACTGTGATGTTTTTTCTGTCCACATCTGCAGGTTAAGGGCACCACTCAAAGTATTCCCATGTGATGAGGTTCTGAAAATATGTTAGGCATTATGAACTGAAACAAACTTTTTCTTTATCCCGATTAAAGGGTACGATGTGGCCTGCGGTGCATCACATGGCGGCTCAATGGATCCCTGCCAACGAGAGAAGTAAATTCGTTTCCGCTTATCTCGGTGAGTTTGTTTATTCAAGTATTTTTTCAAAAAAAAAAAAAATAAATAAAAATAATAATAAAATATAAATATAATAAATAAAAAAATCTGCTTTTTTAGAGGGGTAGGCGGTAGGGGATGATAAAAAATATGGAGAGTGCCTCTCTTCCTTCCTTTTTTTTACAATAATTAAGTGTCCACGATAATAGCCATACGTTTGTTTTTTGACGCAAAGGAATCAAACTTTAGATTTTCAACCAGCGAGGAGATGGAAAAATCAACGAGTCCACGCATTTAGATTTTCCAACAGATTTTCTTGACATTTGACAGGAAATGATTGAAGTATTTTCTGTATGTAGGTTAAATTCCATATAAAAATGAAGATGACGGATAGAATCGAAAGTATGAGAGGAAAAATACTTAAATTTTGTGCACACAAACATGCGGATTGACGCACAAGTCATACGGAGAGTTGGTAATTTTGCTCAAAATTCAGTCTAAAACGGAAATCTTACTATAGAGAGAAAAATCTCACCCGAGCACACATTTTCCCTTAAACAGTCCCTCTAGAAACTCTGTGTTCCGATGGGTTTTTTCTCTGAATACTGAGATCTCAGTTTCAGACTGAATTTTGAAAGCACGTAGGCAAAATAACGCACCCTCTGACTTAGTTTTTGCAGGTGCAGCTTTCTCTTTTAACATTCTAAAGGATTTATATTCGGACTGTTTCCCCACTTTAGGTCACGACTATAATTCTTATTCCCTCTGTCCAGGTAACACAATGGGCGTTGCGTTGACATACCCGCTGTGCGGTCTCATAATATCCTTTTTTCCTTGGCAATACGTCTACTACGTGACAGGATCTTTGGGAACACTATGGTGCATTTTGTGGCTATGGTTCGTGTACGATTCGCCGCTCCAGCATCCGACCATAACGAAAGATGAGCGGAACCATATTTTGACCAGCACGGATTTCTCCATCGACAGAAAACGGGTAGGGTAAGAGCTGGTTCGCTGATCAAAAAGAGAGATTATTCTTTATTTGATATCTTTGATTTTTTTTTTTTTTAGAATTATGGTAAAAAGTCAACGGGAGAAGAGACATTAATCGTCCCTTCCTTCAACAAAAGAACGTATCTTCCCTGCGAGGTTTTTTCGTTCATTAAAAAAATTCAATTTCTTTGCAGACAAATAACTGGATCACATTTTGCAATAAGAAACCGCTAAATTCGGCTCATTTTAGAAATAATATATATGCTACTAATTTACTCATGCCGATACGTGATTTTATAGAAAAGCCAGAGATAGTGGTTCCTTAATGCAAAATGTAATCCAACCGTAAAATTCCTCGGTAAAATGTAGCAACTTCTGCGGGTTGATTGTTGAAATTGATGGACAAAGCTATGAAAAAGAAGACACGAGGGGTATAGAGCGGTCCTATTGGTTGAAATAATTGGTTCCTACGGACTGAGGGAGAAAATGATGGACAAACTATAGGGTCTCACGTGGGTTACTGTTAGTTAGTCTATCTTCGTCCATCGCAACTACCCGCTTGCACCAATAGGATCCCTCCCTATCCCTTTTGTTTTCTTTTTCCATGGTTTTGTCTATCGATTTCAACAATCAGCCCGCTGGTGTGAAATCAGGTCACTTAAACCGCGGACGACGAGAGTTCTTACCTTCCATAGCCCAGGAGGAATAATTTTGAAACGATCGCAGTCACAATTAAGACTGGTAACAGCCAGATTGGAATTTGGGATTTACGACGAGTTGCTGTAAAATAGCAAGTCATGTTCATGATGATATTCAAAAAGGTCACAGAGCTAATAATCGCGGTTGAGTGAAAAGCAATCGAGAAGCGGCTTCGTTGAAAATCGATAAAAATAATAGTTTTGCGGCATGATCAGTTGATGTTGCAATAATTGAAATAACGTGAGATCAGTTGAAGCAGTTAGGATTAGGAATGAAAAAGAGAGGACGATTTACGTTGGCAGGAGAGACAAAACGCCTTCAATTCAGCTGATATGCAAAAAAAATACTTAAACGTTCCCACATATCGATGGCTGAAGTGCCAGACCACGGATCTCCATTTGCGACGTTGTAGACTTCCTTTCATACTTTATTGTTCCCTTAGAGAACTAGCAACGTAAATTTTGAAAACTTACTTGATTTTTCTTGTCTGTTGGTAGAATATTCTGTATTAATTTCAAGCTATGAAGTTGACTTGTGCCACTTCAAAACAATAAACTAGGAGCGGAGATTTTAAAACACCGCAATAGAGATACATGATGTCGCAATTGTATCACTTTAGCCATCGAAATGTTTCACGTGGCTGATTGCAATTCTCATAAGTTGACAACACTGGCTTTCGTCTATTTAAATGTCGATAAATAATATCGACGGCGACGGCCAAAGTGTGAAACTTTGACTCTCTTTTGCCGTGTTACAATTTCCGATCCTATTTAATTTTTTCGAAGAGAAAAAACTAAATTATTAGCTTGAACTTTCATCAAAATAATTTGCTGAAGAAGAAATAAAATCAAGGAAGTTTTCAAGAAATTACGTTGATTAGTATTCCAAAGAAAAAGGAATGTATGACAGGAAGTCTACGACGCACAGTGGATCGAGTCAATTAGAGAGGTCGGACATGAAATTTTTGACTAAAACTGCAAATTTTGATGTTCATATCGTCACATTTTAAATGTCAAGGGGTGGTAGTGGAAGAAAAGTTTACGAGCAAACCAAGGAAATCACTTTTAGAGCCTCAAAGTTTTGTACAAACGGAGTTATGAGCGTTTAAAGTTTCCAAATTTTGTCCGACCTCTTTTACTGACTCGATCCACTGTGCGACGTCGCCAACGGAGATACGTGGTTTCTTACACTGGTCGTCGATAGGACAATCAAATTGCTTTACGTGGACAGTTTGGAAGTGTTTTTAATTTCTAGACTAAAAAATGGCTGAGAGGGCTAAAACTCTGCAGGGTTGGTAGTTTTGGAGATGGCCCCTTGAAAAGATTTCATACGAAAAGAATGTTGAAAAATGATTCCGGAAATCAATTCGTGTTTCCGGAAAACTGATATGAAATTTTTTTTAGACCTGTCACCCATGTCTCACTGAATAATTCTTCCATTTTACAGCCGCCGATTCCCTGGAGGGCTATTCTGACGTCACGCCCTCTATGGATAAATATTTTGGCGCAATGGGGCGGAATGTGGGGTTTTTACACCCTCCTCACCCAGGCACCCTCGTACTTCAAGCAAGTGCACAGGCTCAATATACAACTAGTGAGTAAACTCATTTTTGCCATTTTTAGTGATTCCCATTAATAGGAACACATTTAGCGAGTAGGAACTATAATTTTTGGCTCGTTTTAGAAACAACATAAGTGCCATTAATTTTCCTATGCAGATATGTGTTTTTATCTAGGAGCCATAAATCGTGGTTCTTATAATTGAAAAATGTAGTTCAATTATCGGCGAGTTGGATAACTAGCAAACAGAGCTATGTATCGATCCTTAGAGGGGCCAGGTGCTCCGACAAGAATCGATTATTTCACATAGATTTAAATGACGGAAATTCGGTGTAGCCAAATTGCTGGATCTGCCCGCGCCTCTGCAATGAAGCGAATCAATATTAGAGATCCAGTGGCAATTTGGCAAGATGGCAATACTGTTTTTTCTCCATTAATAGCCACTAAAAATATCGCTTTTAGGCGAGGCAAGGCGGCTCACCTAGAATCGAGTGTTTTACATACATTTAAATGGAGTAAAACAGTGTTGCCAACTTGCAAAATCGTCACTGGAGTGATCAGACATGATGTGGAAACTTTAAAAGCCTTTACCTTCTCAATACGAAACATAGCGGTTTACAAGTGGTTTAATTCGGGTTTCTCGTACAATTTCCTGCTAGAAACACCTCTGAGAATTAATAATGTGACGGGATGAACAGCAAAATTTACAGTCTGTTGTAGTGGAAAATTTCATGTCCGATTCCTCTCAAAGGCTCCTGCCACTGTGGGGCGACTACGGGCATGCATGTTTAAAAAAGTATCTTAATGGGAGAGGTGTGAATGTGAACCTTTCGAAGCTAGTCATTCCACCATTGATAAAAACGCGCAAAAGTCGTAATTTTTCTTGAAAGGCAAAATCCACCGAGGAAAAAATGAGCAGTCTAGCTAATATTTGTGCTGGTGCAATCTTGCTTCATCCGGTAAATTAATCACTGATAAGAGTACACTGTATGAGAATTAGCACGTGTTTATACACACAAATCACGTGTGAGGAATATAAATATCAGTGCCAGCACTTCGCGCGTACTTGAATTTGTTGTTTATTGGCGGAGTTTACATAGCGTAAACGCAAGTACATTTTATCATAAATCGGTTTCATGTTCAGAGAGAAGGTAAAAGGGGTCTGTGCATTTGTTAGAATCTAAGAAAAGGCAGAGGCTTGGAGAAGCAAAAGGTTTATCCACTATATTCAATAGCTTAGAACGGAAGGGTCGGCTAGATCTGACCCAGGAACTTCGGTCAGAAATCATCTTAAATTACCGGGAGAGAGCCTTGAGGCCTTTTCCATTCCTTTCCGAGTCAAAACTTTTCACAAAATTTCCACGAAAAGTGAAAAGAAAAATTTAAATGGAGATTAAATGTACCGCGTTCAGCAGAGATGAACCAAGCCACATCAACTATTGCCAAATTTAATTGGGTAATTTCATTTTTGACAAAAGGACGTTTGTGCAGATTCCTTTGAAAATGTTAATGAATTTTCGGCATAGCTGGAAGCAAATGCTTTAAAATATTTAAAAGAATCCACAAAGCAATTAATCCACAGTTAAAGGCAATAACTAATGTGGCTTGATTGCTTCCTGCTTAACGCGATCCAAATGAGGATTTTTTAAAAATTTCACTAGGTTTTTGACTTACCTACCTAAAGGCTTTACGTACTTTTCACTTATTTACTTATTTTCAATTTTTTCGACGGACAAAACGAGGGAATTTGCCAACCACTGGAATCTCCTCAATGCAAAAACGGCAAAATCTAGATTATTACAATGTTTGACAACTATTCTCTTACCGCGAATAGCACCCTGGTGTAAGTCTGGGGGATTACTCATACAGTCTGAAACCACTCGCGCATATTTTTTTCAAGGTATTTTACCCTGCCCCCTCCCATATGAAAAACACCTGACTGCGCCGCTGATTGCGCCAAACATTGTGTTGAACTAAACTATACTGCCGTGCTAAGGAAAAGTGCCGCGGCACTTTCGCCGGCACTTTCGCGGCGCGCCGTATGAACATTCGAATGTTGCCAAATTGCCTCTCGGATCAGATTTGTTTTCGAAAAACTTTATGAATTCTTTCTCTTAAAATTTTTGAACGTTTTAGCTCATATTACGAGCAAAATTCCATGAAAAATTTGAAGAAAAGTATTCACTAATTTCCCCGAAAATTTCTGATTTGTTGAAGGAGACTTGGCAATGTCTGCAGGCTCATACGGCATTCTTCCTTAGCACGGCAGTACAGCTTGAACCCTCGAATTACCCATACAAATTAAGTGTTTCTTACAGCATCGTTTTTGTTTTCAGAATGGATTATTTTCGGGCCTTCCGTACCTTTTTAAAACGGCGTTCGCCTATGGTTATGCAATTTACACGGACAAACTGCTGAAGAGTCAAAGGATAGGACGCACGGCTGTGAGAAAGCTGGCAACTTTCGTGTGTAAGTAATCTGAATGTGCCTCAGTGGCGAAGCGCGAATAATCAACTATTGATATTTCCCCATTTGAAGCTACGTTAAAGAATCGATTATTAAAGTGTTCGTTGCGCACACCATGTTTATCGATCCTGTTCCATGGGTTTAAATGACAGAACAATCGATAAATTGCAAAGCAAACCACGCCACTGATGTACCTACCATCGTTCGAAGGAAATGAAAAATCAATCAAGCCAACACTCGATCATAAATGTTGAGATAGTTTCGGGAGTCAATAAACCCACGCCCTTCGGTGAAGACGACTTTCCGATAAACCCGGGGACTATTTTATCTTTGAGGACATAGGCCATGGGCGAAACTAAAGGGAAGTTGTAGCCCCCATAGAAATCTACCTGTCCCTTTCCACGAAAAGTACGGGATTTTGCGAGTATAGTTCATGGCATCTCCTCAAGTAGCATAAAAATCGCGACATACACTAGAAAAAAAAAAAAAAACACATTGGATCTAGAGTCCAGACTCTTTAAAACATCGACAAGAAAAAATACTCTTGATTCAATCGGATTTTTGCTTACATCAAGAACCAAGCCTCTTAATTTGAGCGGATTTCCTTTTGATTTAAGCAAAAATCTGATTGAATCAAGAGTATTTTTTCTTGTCAATGTTTTCAAGAGTCTGGACTCTAGATCCAATGTGTTTTTTTTTCCAGTGTAATGAAATAAAGTTGAGATTTTTTTGCGATGTTTTGAAGATATAACCGCAAGGATCATCAACATGTGAGCGATTAACCTCGATCTTGTCGCAATTGCATCTCTATAAAATCCCGTGCGAAAAAAATCGAAAATTTACCTCAATTTCTCAAGATTTTTTGTTCGATAATACTGCGATTTTGTTGCACGATCATGTGATGAAATCGCAATTCCATATCCGATAATATTGCAGTAATTCGACGTCGATAAAATTGCGATACATTCTTCTTTATCTAACTTTGTTTCCATTAGTGTTTCGTTTGGAACAGCTCAAAAATACTCTAAAATTTCTCAATTTCCAAGAATTTTCCGGGGAGGCGCCGCCCCTCTCCCTTTAGAGCTGATCGAGTCCCCTGGGGTCTCTCTTGATGGGACGTAGTTTTCTGTGCCCCTTATACGGGCTTTTTGGTGGAATATCTTTTCTGACCTTAGAGCCCTCTGTGCCCAAGTAGCACAATGCAACGAAAATATTGAAATTAAATTAAAATTTGATTTCAATAAAATTGTGATTTTTTTTAACCATTAAATTGCAATATTTTTACATTGTTTAGTCGAATTATGCCAAGTTTAAAGGATCAACAAAGTGGGCTCCATGTGTCAGAAAGATAGGCAAAACGCAATGCAATGAAAAGTTGCAACTTATTTCAATTTTATTGCAATTAGTTTCAAAAGGTAAATAGGGCCCCTTCAAATAGAGCTATAGGCAACATACACAACGCGTAAAATTGTCAGTGGAATTTTAAAAATTTTACAATGGACTTTCTACTTATTGCAATCTATGCTACTTGGGTGTGAGGTGTTCTACTGCCCCCCCCCCCCCCCCCCCCCCCCCCCCCCCCNACAACAAAACGATCCTAATTACGCCTGTGATAGGAGGCACTTATAATTTGCTAGGTTCTCATTTTTAAGACTCAAAGTCATATTCATGGTTGCTCCTCAAACAGCTCCATTACCTTAATGAGACCCATACACGGAATTTTCCACAGAAAAGCTAGGACTGCCTTTTGTCTGCCTTAGGACTACCTACGAAATAAACAAGAATGATCTGCTCATAGACATTTTTTTTTGTTGGGCCAAGTTTAAGAGACACATATCAAGTTGCAGGTAGGAAAAAATTAGTTGAGAGTAGTTTTGAATTAATTTAGCTACCCGTTATTTTTATCCTGTTTAAAATTCAAAGTCAAGACAAAGTATTTTGAACAAGAAAAAAATCGTTAAAATTTGTACTTGGCAGTAAATCCTCAAACCTCTTTTTATTGGCTCAATTTTCATTTGACTGTGTGCCTGTGCGTTACTGTTAGACTCTGCTCCTTTCTTGATTGACTTCTAGATAAAGCCTGATGCTGATTTCTTTGCAATAAATTTTTTTTTTTAAAAAAAAAAAAAACAACCAGGACATAAAATCTCTTCCTTTGCCATTACCTGCAATGCCAGAGCAACTGTTCACAAGACTTAAGTTCTAGATTGTCTAACGTAAGCCGGACCCATATCACAATATTAATGTTTGTGCGTAATTTACTCTGAGTAACGTTTGAGTAGTGTCATGTATGTACCTGACAAGGCTTTAGATGCTTTCATGGACTGCTGAAGTTAGACTGTAGATTATCGAAGCAAGAGGTAATTACAATAACACCAGATCAAGGGATAACCACATCAAATATGTAGTAAACTTAAAAGTTCCTAATGACTTTATGGAAGTACCTGTATGGACTGTAACTGATTCCCTACCTATCAAGACTGATATTATACTGAAATAACCAAAGGGATGGTAAGTGACATAAGTTATTTCAGTTCTGCAAATTCTACACATTAAACCCACAGCACGGATTCACATTCAACGAATAAGTACTGCAGGTATTTGAGTACATTATTTGAATTGCGCAACAGTAAGTGAACTGAAAGCACTAGAGAAGCTTCGACACGAATATTGATAATGGTGTTTTCAATTTAATGCATCAATGTTACTTTTTTTAAAGCGGAATATGAATTGATGCCTAGATTGTAAGGGCGCCACTTCAGGTTTTCACAGGGCTGGGCAAAAAGTGATGAGTTTTTTTTCCACTTATGAAATTTACCTCCCTTTTGGTGAAATGTGACAGATGGCAATATGGTTGCGCATACCGGTGACATTATCGATCAGGTCGTCTCCATAGTTGATTAAACATTTCATTTCCCACTGTGAGAAGCAAAAGAGAAGCAAGCTGAGACTGCATCTGACAATTTTCTAGCCTCTTTTCTCTCTCTCGTCATATCGAGAAATTTGCCCCGACCTGACTCCAAGACGTACAACCAGGCAAATGACCAGCTTGCCACCCACCAAACAGTGCCCTTTTTCAATTGATAAATGGATTGTTAAGATAAGGATTGATTAATCAAAGTCATGTGACAGTGGTTCAACAATCAATCTTCTGGTAAGTGCGATCTGCAGCCTGATTATTGAAATTTATGTCAGCACGACAAGAATTGAAAATCAACATATTACACGGCGCAGATAGCGCTATGTCTTGTGTTATCTTGCGACATAGCTACATACAGGTGTGCATGGTGTTTCTCATTGTAAAGGAGCCTGGACGTCTTTTGGCTTCATGGCATTCTTGGCAGATACCTTCTAAATTTCAGTATAGCTTTCATGACAAGGACCATTGCCTTTAGGCTGTAGTATTCCCCTTGAAGGAGAAAGATGGCTGCACAATTTTAGCACACCTTGCAACGCTTCACAGGTTTCAGATTTGCAGGCTTCATATATCCCTCATCAAGAGCAGATCCTATTGGAGGCCAAGTTACTTGCATCAGTTACAACTCTAATCTGGCCTTTCATCTGTCCCGGGCATAGTTTATTTAGTTCGCTTGATCTAAACTGTCGGACTCCAGCTTTGAGATGACCCTACACTTTGGCTCATGAAAGGTTGAAATTGGGACCTCCAGAAAGGTCAGATTGGACAAAATCATAAGGGATGCTATGGGCGCAATATGTATCAAAAATAGAGAAAATGAATCAATCCTTACGTTTGAAGGAGTAGAGATGTAATGAAGTCGGGAATACAACTTGGTGAAACTTGACTCGCTACCGAACTCCCGAACACAAATCGCGGAGAAATCACACGAAAAGCCACGAGAAATGAAAGTCCTATGGTCGAACATATTAGGACGAAAGATGATCGATTACTTTTTAAATACAGTCGTTGTGCATTCATCAAAATACGCGAAATACTGCAAATGCAAAATGCACAAATGCACGGTCATGCACACACACACGTGAAAATTCTGAATCTGATAAACAATAACAAAATGGGCTTGTCGAGGTTGCCGGATTGCCAGAATTGACTTAGTTCATTCCGTTTATTCCGAATTTTAAATGACAGGAATTTTACGGCAAATTCTGAACCAGGCATTTTGATTGGTCAAGACCAGTTCATTCCATGCGTTCCCAATTTAATCAAAAACGGCGGGAATTTCAAATTAGACCGGATATCCTGCTAATATATTCCTTTCCGGTCAAGTCAACATGTCTGACAGGAAATGGATTTTCCCGCTCTTTTTCGTACGGGAGTGCTGCCCTCTGGGAACAGTTGGGTGAAACAATGTGCCCATCGTGCACATTTTGCATCTGTATACTGCGCGCTGTATGCTTTCGGTACGCATTTGTGCGCATAAACACAAATTAATTTTTATTTTCCTTGAAATTTGAATAATTTTTCAGGAGTTGCGTTTGGCACCCGCAACAAATAATTGCGAATTCGACAAGAAACTTCGAAATTAGACTCATGATTTTTTTTTTTTCAGAAGCTCAAAATTGATCCTAATTTTGTTTAGATATTCCATTTAATAAAGTTTCATGAAATTTGGCATATCTTGCTCTATGAATAAGAAACCCAAAAAAAAGTCTATTGTTACCGAGTTGATCAAGAATACGGAGAAAACCGTGCCAGATTCATTTGATGGAAAATAAAATGTACCAAAATCTAGTAACATTACTTTTTATTCAGAATGTTCTATCAAGGTTCTGTTTTCAATTTAAATTTCAACGTGGGACGAGTGGGACTAACGAACAGGGATTATAGCCTCGTTTGCCAAATGTTTCCACATGTTGTAATTTGTATGACTCTTCTTCTTGACTCGCTCCGCTAGTGTCTGAGGTTAAAACGCCTTCACTCTCGTGCGCATGCAACACGGACATCCATAGAGCCCGCATATTTGCATGCATCCGAGCGTTATAATGAAATTCGTTCAGTACCTATCCGTCGCTTGCGACACTGACTGAAGCTTTCATTTTTTCTCTTACTTTTAACTTAATTCCAGCGTTGCCTAGTATGTCGATGAAGCAAACCAATACTGATTTCTTTCGCTACATCGTCAAGTTTATACAGATTATTGGTTAATTGGTTAGCTCTTCATAGAAGGTCTCATAATTGTTTGACAATGATCCATTTGTTTCAGGTATCACTCTGCAAGGGTTCTTACTTATTGGCCTAGCGTTTTCAAGCACCAATGTTTCGTGCGCTGTGTTTTTCCTGATCGTCGCGACGATGGTTCACGGTGCTGTAACATCCGGACCAATAACAAGCTACATAGATCTCAGTCCAAATTTTGCAAGTAAGATTCGCCACTTTTGATGTTAAATAAATGTAATATCGACGGTGAAACTACCGGATCACGTATCTCGGTTTGCCACGTTTTGGACTTCCTGTCATACTTTCTTTTTTCCATTGAGAACCACTCAATGTCAATTTTTGAAAATTTTCGATAAAACTTCTTCTCCTTACAAAGAAAACTCTGTGAAAACTTTAGAGCATGTAATGAAGATGTAGCATGTGTGAGGAATTTGCGATTTGACTGTGAATACTTATGTAAAAGTTGGCGAGAAACACGATGGTCCCACTGATTTTCTCTGAAATCAACTCCCAGCTCAAAAAACCCTCTCAAAGTTGAGGCTGTAATGGAGGGATATCCTACGCTATCCTGATAGTCCACCTCTACATCAAGACAAACTCTCCATGCAAAGATAGGGAGCAAATACATTAGCAGGGTTGCCGTGTTTTCAGTTTTAGAGTCCCCAAATAAAGTGGCAGCCCTGTCAATGTATTTGCTCTCTATCTTTGCATGGAGAGTTCGTCTTGATGTAGAGGGGGACTCTCAGGATAGCATGGGATATCCCCTCCATTTTGGCTTCAACTTGAGATCTTTTTTTGAGCTTGGGAGTCGATTTCAGAGAAAACCAGTGGCCACATCGTGTTTCTCGCGAACTTTCACATGAGAATCAACAGTCAAATCGCAAATTCCTCACACATGCAACAACTCCATTGCTTTGTTCTCCGTCAGAAAATAAAATGGGAGCAGAGATTTTTAAACGCCGCAAACTAGAAACGCGGTTTGTTAGTTTCACCGTTGATATGTAATTTTGTCATCTCCAAAAAATCATGCACCGGACCAACCATGACCACAGGCGTTTTGAACGCACAAGTTTCATGCTGCCGTGCTAAGAAAGAACGCCGTAAGAGCCCTCAGACGTTGCAAAATTTCCTTTGGTAAAACCTTAATTTACTGGGAAAAGATTGAATTTTTTTCCTCAATTTTTTCAGACGATTTTGTTCGCAATTTCGTATAAAATGTCTGAAAATTTCTGGAAAGAACACGCATAATCGTTCTAAAAAACATGTTTTATCTGAGGCAATTCGGCAAGTCTCGAATTTTCATACGGCGCTCTTCCTTAGCACGACAGTATGAACGGTTGGTTTCCTTTGGCCAAAGTGCGCGTTGGCCTTTGGCCAAAGTGCGCAATAATTTTCTAAATAATCAGGAAATCTTTTCAATTGGAGAGAAAGTTGCAAATAGCGAGTAAACTCTCGTAAAGAGAGTAAATTGATGTAGGAAACTCCATAGTAATCACAAGTTCGGCTCGGATGGAACGCAAAAGCAACACATCCCAACAAAGTTCAAGTAATGATTTAAAAAGGTAAGGAACCTCTCATTGGCCTCATTTATAAATTCAAATTGAAATCTAATTTTTTTTTTGCTGGTCGGGATTACTTTTCATAAAAATGGCGCCAAAAAAGAAAGGGGGAAAATCCCGAGGAGAAAATCACAATTTGGCATGCAAATATAATGCTGATGAGCCTGTTTTCCCTTAGGTTTTCTCAACAAACCGTGATGAGATCGAAAACCCCCACGTACCCCTCGGAGTAATGGGAGTATTTTATGAACTACCCTATATCTGCCGCACTACGGCCATGGTCAGCACATGCTCTTATGTATCTTGAGGCACATCCCAGAATACACTAACTCAGTTATGATTCTTGAAAGTTAGCAACACTGTTTTTCCGCCGTTTAAATGTATGTAAAACAATCGATTCTTGGTGAGGCAGCTTGCCTTGCCTAATATCGATATTTTTAATTGATTTAAATGGGGGAAATATGGTGTCGCTAACTTGCAAAATTGCCACTGCATTTACTGCTACGGGAACCGCGGCAGATTTCTAGCCTGGTTTTCCTCACGCTAAAATCTGCCTCGTCTCAAAATGTTTTGTGCGAGTTTTTCAATTACATCTGAAACAAACATAACAACTACATTTCGTTGATTTATATGACTTCAAAATCTTGATGACAGACTATGCTTTCTATTCATCTACGCACAACTTACCGAGCGTCTGTTTATGTTTATTCCTCAGGTATCCTGCAAGGTATTTCTGGCACCGTAAACGTATGGCCAGGATTTCTATCTCCTATGCTAGCTGGATATCTGACCTACAATAATGTGAGTATACTTTGAAGTATTTTTCATTTGAAGTATTATGCATTTATATTCAATGGAAACCGTAAGCACAGCAGCACCGTGAAGCAGGATAAAATCCTAAAATTATATTTTTTCCTCAAAATCTCAGTACTTGCCCTCTTTTTCTGAGACTTTTCTTTACGAAGAAAGGCAGCTGATCCTGGATCAATGTTACAAAAATTACTTTTATGTGCAGTTAGGATTAAATGGACGACGATTGTTCGGCTAGTGAGGAAATTGAGCCGAACAACAAGAAAAAAGACCAATTTCTCGTAACGAGGTTTCGAAAATTTGTAGTAAGGTCACAGTGTAAACACCGAGGCGCGTAAAATGTTAAAGACGAAACACGCACCATTATAATCTTACGGCACCAGCGTTTTTTTAAATACGCATATCCTTGGAGACTTTAACGCTAGGATAGAAAAGTAGAGAGTTGCATGAAAGCATTGATGCATGTCGTTAGCAAGTAAAAACACTCTGGGAAATTTCTCTCCTTCATTCAATCTCTTTCTCTCTCCCCCCCTCTCTCTCCCTCTCGCTACTTCAACCCCTGCCCTAGGACCAATCACAGCTCTCATCACCACTTCTAGCCCCCTTTCCGTGTTTTCCACCGTAGCACCACAGTACAACGAAAAAATTTAAATAACTTGCAATTTCATGCAATAACGTAAATTCAAACATCAATTCTACCATTTTGTCTCCAAAATAAATTTAATTATTTTTATTTTAAGTGACATATTTCGACGGTGTAAGTAGGCAATCACATAACTCGGTTTGTGACGTCGCAGACTTCCTGTCATACTTTATTTTTTAAACGGAAAACTACTCAACGACAATTCCTTAGAACTGCCGTGATTTTTCTTCTCTATGTGGAGACAATCGCTAATCCACCATCCATCTCGATATTGCCGTGTTATCCCATCGGGCTGTTGTTCGAAGTTCGCCGCGACTCCTAGCAACTATTTTAACTCCCCGGAGATCAAATTGCATATCCAACGAAGTGAAGGAACTTTCAGTGAGTTTGCCAATCCGAAACTTGGCAAATTTCTGAGAAATATTCCGCCTTTTTTCATTTATCATCGTTTCTGTTTTTCTTCACCCTCACGTATGAGGATGAAAGTGCGTTTTGGCTGCAAGCAACGTACTATTTTAATTCTCCGGAGATCACATTGCAAACTCAACGAAATGAGGGAACTTTGGTATCGCGGTGCGGTTATCTATCGCCGTATAAGCATTCGAATGTTGCCAAAATGCTTTATTGAAAATATTTATTTTTGAGGAAAGATGTGAATATTTTTCCTTAAAATTTGCAGAATTTTTTTCATCAAATTACGCATGAAATCCTATGAAAAATTGGAGGAGAAATATTTACAAGTTCGTATGAAAATTCTTGATTTGTTGAAGGCAATTTGGGTGACGCCTGATGGCTCTTACGCCGTTCTTACTTCACATGGCAGAGTTTTTTGGTTCCATAATAGTGCTGCACTATTGTATCTTCTTGTTTTTAGTATTTTTTTCTTATTCTTCACACAGGAGGGAAAAATCAGAAAAGTTTCTAAGAAATGAGGTGAGGTATGTTTGCGTTTTAAAAATAAAGTATGATGGGAAATTTGAACCTTAACAAATCAAGATACGAGTTTCTGCAACTCCATTAACAATTATGTCCAATGTGTAGGGATGGCGATTTTTAATCGATTTTTTGAAAAATCGATTTGTTGCGCCGGAAAATCGATTAAATCGGATCGATTTTTCGAGCCGAAATCGAATTATTAAAAAAGGAAAAAAAATCAAAATTTCCTACGTTAGTGTGTCACATAAGGCTTAAGTTCTGTGAAACCCCAATTTCATTTCAATTAAGTTTAGTTTCAATAGTAGTTATGTTTTTGGCGCCGAACTTGGATTTTTAAGTGTTGTAAAATCGATTTTAGATTTTCTCCAAAATGGATTTTTTTCATCCGATTTTAAAATCGAATCGATTTTCACCTAAAATCAAATCAACTCGAAAAAATCGCCATCCCCACCAATGTATTGATTTAATCAGAATTTCAATCCGAACGGTCTGCTTTCAGCAAACACCTGATCGATGGCAGTTGGTGTTCATCATATCCGGGGCGTCTATGATAGTTCCTGGTCTCATCCACTTGGCATTCGCCGATTCGCGGCTGCAGCCGTGGAACGAGGGGAATTCAGCCTACCAACTCAACAAATACGAGCTGAAGCGGCTCAAAGTTTCAAAACGAGAGCGATCGCAAAGTAGGCGATAGCCGATATTGCCGTGCTGAAACAAATCCACCACTTTTTGTTAAAGTTTATGAAATAGATCGTGTCGCACGGACGTATCAAACGGATGAGATTGTACCCATATCGATTGGTTCAAAACATAAACATAGCCCTTAAGGTGATTCGATGGACGCCATATTTTGTGTCAGAACGGCATGCGATATATCGCATCAATTGGTTCCATTTTTTCAGCTACTCGTCATTTTTCTCCAATTTTAAGATCGCAATTCTGTCGTCAGGAGACTAGAGCACTCACTTACCAATTTTAACAAAGAAATTCAACGGAATAAAGGCGTGGTTTTTTCAGAGAGAAAATATCGCATTCTATACTGATATCGAAACTGCACTCGAATGCGATATTTTCTCTCTAAAAAAACCACGCCTTTATTACGTTGAATTTCTTTGTTCAAATTGGTAAGTAAATGTTTCAGTCTCCTGACAACAGAATTGCGATCTCAAAATTGGAGAAAAATGACGATTTGCTGAAAAAATGCAACCAATTGATGCGATATATCGCATGCCGTTCTGACACAAAATATGGCGTCCATCGAATCACCTTAAAGTCAATTTTTCAATTTTAATCAATTTTACTCAAGTTTTCAATTGAGTAATCTGACGGAACCGGATTTTTTGTGATAGATTTTCTATTCGTATGAACGAGTAAAAATGAAGATCCATAAGTATGAATGAGTAATAATTGGGCAAGAGTGATGAAATTGCAACGAAATTTCCTATTTTCAGCTTTTCTGATTGATATCCTAAAATTTTGATTTGAGGTTATGTTCTATTGTTCTGAATCAAACGATACATCGAATCACTATCGAATACAATCCATTAAGACAGTAACGCACCGAGAGGAATTTTGAGGGGGAGGACGGACTATATTCGCATCGAAGAAGAAGTCACTTGAGAGGCGCAAAACCCCTCAAAATGTGACCGCACGGGAAAATGCCAGACGAGGCGCTTGGAGTTTCACGCGCATAAGTGCAGTTTTTTTTTTTTTTTTTTTTTTTTTTTTTTTTTTTTTTGAAAAAAAGGAGATATTAATGATTTTAAGTGAAACTATAGTCTTAATGCATATTTTATGAAAAGTTTGCTCCAAATTTCCATTTTTTAAGCATCAAATGTCAGTTTGAACGTTCGTTCCGCCATAAGGATCTATGTAATTCCGTAACTGAACACGCATTTCTCGAAATAGCAAAAACTGCACTTATGCACCTTGTCCTCCAAGCCCCTAAATGCGAGCGGCCTTGTTTAGATAACTTATATAGAGATAAGACGGACATGTTGTTAATCTTGAGGTTAGGTGATGGAGCTCTTGGGGCCCAAAAAGACTGCCGATCTCCAGAGACATTCATTGTTACAATTGTTATGATCCATTGTTAATGAAGCACGCATTTGACTTAGTTTATGCACAAATTTACTCATTTTTTCGGAAGAACGCTTATTTATGAACATTCTTGGCTATCTTAGTTTGATATTGGAATCTGCAGATTGGTGGCAACGATTTCGTTTTCAAAGGTTGGCTGTTCTTTTGGGTTTCTTAAGAGCTCCACATTCCGGCATGTCTGTACTGTCCCTATATAGGTACTGTAGCTCAGCTCATTTTTATGCCAGGGGATTGCATGAAATTACATTTGTATTAGCAAAAAGGTCAAAATTGAATGCACATGAAAAGAATTTGTTTAGAGTAAAACAATGTAACAAGGTAAAAACGACTGGTGGTTAAGCTCAGATTGCAAACATAATTGTTTTCTTCTTCAATGCGTGGTGCCAGCTAGTAGAGCCTATGCCTGTTCATAGTAAAATCAGCGCCTTTGGTCGGGGTTTGTTTGAGTAGGCAACTAAACTAACTGCCTGGCAAAGCGGAGAGTATCACTCGGGTTTGAAGGCGTTCAAAGTCGAGGTGGTGCTTTCGAAGTTCCGCCCCCATGAATATTGCAACATACTTTTAGGCGTTTTTGGAGTAAAAAAATGTATTAAATACACCTCTATGTAACGGTACATTATTCGTCTTGAAAACAGTTTTCCGATATAGCATGTGATCGTCTTACCCATAGACGTCATAAAACGAGAAGAGAAATCAGAAGAGGATCAGAATCAAAGAGTAAAATCGTTCTATCTCATGACCCAAGCCCCCTTACCTTTGGCTATGTCATTACTGAGGGGATGATTTATTTTTAGCAGTGCTATAACATGTACCGCAGTAAAAAATACTCTGTTGATCTCTGATATGTTATTTTTGTCTTTGCATGATCAAATGTGATAGCTTAATCGATTTCGAAACGGATATTATTTAAAATCCGTTAACCTGTTTGTGAGCCGAATTATTCACTCTGAAATTTCTGCTCATCCTTCCGAAAATTCAATTGGTCTGTTTTTGTGGTCTCGTGTATTTTTTTGTAAATAAATGTCATATATAATTGTTGAAATATTTTCTTTCGATGGTCAAACTTCTAACCTGTCCTCCGTAGAAGATCTAATTTTGGGGCCCACTATTCATTCGCATCGTCATCATTGGGCATGTTTTTCTTTCAAGAGTCAAAAACACTTTAGCCGTTTGATCAAAACTAAACTTCTTACAATTAAAACGAACGTTGAAACATCCGGCACTGATAACAGAAAACCATCCCTTATATTTCGGTCATTGATTTGCTTTCAGTTACTTTATCGTAAACACAAAAGTTTCAGAATGTTGGCGTCACTGCGATGGTATTAATTCCTTTTTGCAACGTGTTATCCATATTTTAATAAACGCATCCAAAAAAGAATAGTTTTTTATTTCACGGCACGATCAGCCTGAGAGTGCTGCAAGAACGATAATGAAAGGTAGGAAACGCCTTCAAAAAGGGAGCATGCATTTTACATTGCACTGCAGTACTCAATGGATTTTAAGGCTCCCTGAAAAGAAAACACGGAATACAATTTTTCTGAGCTTTCCAGGCTCTTTTTTCCATAGTGACGATCCGGGATTTTCCCTTAAGAGTTCAATGTGCAAAATGTTGAATATGTAAATGTCCATTGTTTAAAGCCGCTCCAAAGTGTCCTAAATGCACTTAGTTCATTGCAAACAAAAAAAAACTGGTCCACTGTCAGAGAAATACTTTTGAAAAGAGTCTCTTCGTATCATTGATATGCATTCATACAAAACAGTTGTGCAAAAGAGGAACACCATTTGGACAGGGTTCTCCCAATACAATGTTTCTTTATGAAGAAAGTTATGAATATTTTTTGTTTAAATTTTCAGACACCTCGGATGAAAAACCGAATACCTACAATTCTCTCAAAAGTTCGAAGAAAATTAATCATAAGTTGCCCTAAAAATGTGTATATTATAAAAAAGACAATTGCTGAGGGTTCTTACAGCTTCTTACCGATAGCCAAAATGCCAAACCACGTATTTCCATTCAGGTAGTCGCAAACGTACTGTCATACTTTATTCTATATTTGGAAATCTAGTCAACGTAATTTCGTGACCTTAATTTTTGCTTTCTGTTAGCAAGATATTCAGTATGAATTTCAAGCAAAGAAATTGGCTTGTTTCTCTTCGAAAAAATTAAATATTTGCGGACATTTTAAAACACCGCAATTGAGACACGTGGTTTCGCACTTTGGTCATCGATATTTTGAATGATAGCCGCAATATTTTTACTACACGTTTAAATCTTGACCCACCCTATGAATCTCCTGAATGTCAATTCGGGGGACGGTTATGTATCCTGCTTCACGGAGTAGGTATATATCACGCACATTGAAGTGGAAGATAGCATTCATGAATGACTCCGTGCCATTAGTATGCATATGTATTCCTTTATCATTTGCAAGGCTAATTTTTCTCATTAAGTGGGTAATCAGGAATCAATGTCAAGTATTAATAATTTTCCTTGTACTTGATAGAGTCCGTGTAATTTTTAAGGTCTGAAGAGGTATGTAAGATTATGTCACTGACCAAGTATGAACATTATCGGTGCATCCCCTTTATGTATCTCCTAATACTTAGAAAGAAGAAAAGAGAAAACGAAGGATAGAAGCTTAGATACAGACAGTTGTGAGGATGCGCTATGTGCTGATGATGTCCACGAACGCGCCAGCATTTGTCTTCCTGATATCGTCGCATTGTGGATCGAGTCAATAGGATAGGGTCGGACAAAATCTGGGACATGAAACGCTTATAACTCAATCTATACACAATTTTGAGGCTCTGAAAGTGGTTTCATTGGTTTTCTCGTGAAATTTTCTTTCAGACGCACTCCGTAAAGTTTAAAATGTGACAAAATAAACAAACAAAGTGGGTCAATCCAAAAATTTCACGTCCGACCTCTCTATTCTGCCGTGCTATGGAAAAACGCCGAATAAACCTTGAGGCGTTGCCAAATTTCCTTTGATAAAACTCGAATTTCCTGGTAAACATTTGAATATTTTTCTTCCAATATTTTATATAATTTTGTACGCAATTTCACCTTAAGTTCCTGAAAATTTCAAAGAAAAGTATGCACAACTTGCATCAAAAATAAACATTTTATCAAAGGAAATTTTGCAACTCTCGAATGTTCATACGACGTTCTGCCATAGCATGGCAGCATTGGCCTCGATCCATCGTGCGTCGTCCCTCTGACGCGAGGGCGTATCTCAATTTTCACGTGAGCCCTGTTTTACATATAAGCCCATGCTTCCGGGGGCTCATGCGGAGATCGAGATAATCCTTACGACAGAGCAGCAACGATAATCGTTGTGACCACTGTGCTGGACCAAAAAGCACATCTCTTCCAGGAAAATTACCTATGCTCGAATTAGTTTCATCCCTTCCATAATGATATTTTCAGTTATACTGAGTTTTAGCGTACAGTGGCAAAATCACCATTTCTGTCTAAAATATTCGTGATTCGAACTGCATCCTTTCCAAATTATAATTGCACGTATTTCCATCAAACAGAACAATGTGCAGGGGGAAAGATGGGGTGGGCTCGTTAGTGCTCGGGCCATAAGAATGAAAGGGAAATATAAAGCGCCAGTGACGTCAGCGGCAACGACGAGAAGAACGACGACCGAAAAGGCGACCTTTAACCAGGCCCGCCACAAGGGTGGGATACTGGGTCCCTATGGTACCGGGGCCCGTGTTACCCGTGAAAAACCACTACGAATTCACATGCAACCCTTGTTTCGTAAGAAAAAGTGAAAAATTTACCCTAAAAATTTCGCAAAAGGTGGTTTCGCATAAACTCGCTGGGGCACTGTAGAATTCTTCTTAAATTTTCAAAGAAGTATACTTCCTGGAAAATTTCTATCTATTTTCAAGATTTTCGGTACAGAGGGATATTTTTAGTGACTGCGTTTCATTTTCTTCCGTCGTCAGATGCTAAGAGTCTCCAGTCTGGGCATCCTCGACTTCAATGGCTCATGGCTCAACTCCCTTCCCATAGACAAACGAAGGGGGAGTCCAGGGGGGCCTGGCCCTTTAGAACTGAAAATAGTATCATATGCCCCCCCCCAAAAAAAATAAAAATTTTCCGGATGTTTTGAATACAACAATTCGCAAGTATTTTGTGCTGAAAGTAGACAAAAAAAAACAATTATTGCGCAGAAATTGATGGGAAAATTTTATATGGAAGCTTCAAAATGCGTCCGATTAGTCGTATAAATTCTAAAATTTCTCGGGGGATGCCCCTCGGACTCCCCCCCCCGCCTCAATGCTTAGGGCCCGAACCTTAAAACTGGTACCAGGGCCCGAGAGGGGATGTGGCGAGCTTACATGAAGGCTATTTCCATTTAAATCTTCTGTCACATTCATACGGCGCAATGATACAACTATTTGAACTCTCCGGAATGCGTGAGGTATAACGCCGCATTTGAAGACGTTTTCAAAACAGCCAAGTTCCGATACCCGGATTATCGTTTTGCATAGTTCATATTCTTTTGTTATATTCCGTACCACTCGTTTATTTGTAATCCTCGTAGAAAAACCACCCATTGTTAAATACAATTCTAGCTGGAGTGCACTTCAGCTATGCATTCACCACTGCAAAAATTTCAAAGGAAATCGACACGCACAGCGCGCATGGAGGCTATTTCCATTTAAATCTTCCGTCGCATTTCTAAGGCGCAATGATGCAACTATTTGAACTCTCCGGAATGCGTGAGGTATCATTTGAGGCATTTGAAGGCGTTCTCGTATAAATTCTAAAATTTCTCGGGGGATGCCCCTCGGACACCCCCCCCCCTCCGTGCTTAGGGCCCGGACCTTAAAAAACTGGTACCAGGGCCCGAGATGGGATGTGGCGGGCCTGCCTTTAACTCATGAGCCCTGTCCACAAGGTTCTAGATACATGCCCATGGCTCATACACTGTGCACATAGTTCCGTTTGACAGAGCGTGAAATCCCGCTTCTCCAATTCAGCAAACGGAATACCGTGAGCCGACTAAGTGCGGCACCCATGAGCCGTGGGCACGTATATCTAGAGCCTTGTGGACAGGGCTCATGAGTCAAAGACCGCCTTCCTCGCCGCTGACGTCACTGGCGCTTTGTATTTATTCTCATTCATTCTTATGGCCCGAGCACGAACGAGCATACCCCATCTTTCCCTCTGCACTTAGTTCTGTTTGATAGAAATACGTCCAATTGAAAAACGTACCCCGAAGAGAGAAGAAAAAAGCCAAAAATATGATACAAAAGGAGCTTAAAAAACACGGCGCAGATTTCTTATTTGATCACATCACTTTCTTAAAAAAAAAAAAATCAGTTCCGCGTACGAGCGTTTAACTGCAAAACGCAGAATTTAATACCGCAATGCAAATGTCTTTAACAGGCCCAGTCCCTTTAACTGCCCGGTTTAAACACTTTCTGAGTTTACGAAAAAATATTGAATAAAATAAAGCACTGCAACGAAGGGTCGATCATGCGTTGTCTGATCCAACTTAATGAATCCGGATTGAAACAGCGCCGACCAAACTGCAGCAAAATTGCCCTGGGATAAGTGTAAAGCACTGACCATTGGACCGGAACACAGCAGGACCCCGTATTGATTGGATACCTCTTCATGACGTCATGGTGCTGACGTCACGGTTTGTCCGTTACAACACGCTATCGTATCAGCCGAGTAGTGACAGCTCTTGCATGACAGACCTCCCTCCACACCTCTCGCGAAAGTACAGGTTGCTTACCTCAACCATCGTCTCGGAAGAATATATGCTGTCATTATATATACAGGATGATGCAGGGTTTAAGTTGAAATTTCCGACGTCGAGTCTTCAGGTGGATATAAAACTGTACAAGGTGTATTTCCTTAAATCGCCACCTCTGGGCGATAGAATCCCAAATTTAATAGATTTTTTACCATTGCAGCTGAGGCTTTGATTAATGTATGTGATGAAAAAGTAGACGTAATGAAAATGCCCGGCAAATGTCAGTGAAATGGATGTCCATAAAATCCCCCTTCACAAATTAAGTTTACTTCTTTTTTAAGGTGAAATTATGAACAATCGCTACAAATGAATCTCACGCATATATTTTCATTTAATTTGATCCATGCAGTTCACTGCATAAGTACATAATGTTAAAGAAAAAAAAGTAAGTTGCATTTCTGAAACCTTTCAGT